ACACGAAAATTCGAAAGTTCGTTACACGCGTCCCCCCGGGTATAAGAAACCGACCGACGACGTCTGATTTTCATAACACTGAACTTCCGGCCGACTAACGAACGTCTTTCGCGTCTCACGTTTTTTCCGTTCGCGTTGTCATCCATGATGGCGAAATTCACGGTCGTCGAGCGGCCGGAAAGGGTTAAAAGTCGACCGGTCTCGGTATTGCGACGCGAGTCGTTGCAATTCTATATGGATTAAAATCTGCTAACGTCTGATTAAAGAAGGAAATTTTTGTTCTGATTATATCATAACTTCTTAAGGTATTACCCTCGATTGTTTTCTAATTTTCAGTTTTACTTTAAACTTTTACACAATGTTTAAAAACTCGATCTATGAACCCCTGAATTTTTTTCAGATTTTTTTACCGTACAGTTTTTGAGAAAATCGAAAACGAATTTCGCACGATTTAACATTTGGAAGTGATAGGGAGAATGAGGAAATCACGTGCATTTATCTAAATATCTAGAGTTCGAATTTTCAGATTTGGCTAAAAATATTACTACAGCTTCTTTAAACTATAAAGAAAATATGTGTGAAAAATCAGACGCCTGTACCGTACAGTTTTTCAGTAATAATTAAGATAACACAGAAAACGAGCGATTTTGTGATTAGATTTTATGAGAAAGAGCGACGTCATTTCCTCAATTGGAGTGAGATAGAACTATCTCCGCTTCCCCGCGCCCGCACGGACGTGAGGGTAATATCTTAAGAATAAGATAAAGAAAGCAATGTGTTATGAACACAGTGACTTTTTGAAAAAATCGTAGATAAGATATAAAATTATAGAATATATTTATATCAGACTCTCTTAAAATGTATTTAATAAAATACTACGAGATAAGCTATAATAGATATCTCTTTTTTAGATGATCTTTGCACTTCACACGATGAGAGATTCTTTTGATCTGCCGGCTGGCGCATTATCGGCACAACGCGTTTTCCACAACGAGAGCTTCCCATGTCAAATTAACCGAAGATTATTCGAGTATTCTCATGAGCGGCGGGTTTCATGCATATGGCGGATTTTCGTATGTTTCATCGTCAGAAAGGGCGACCGCTTTTACTCCCCCAACGATCAGGTAAAACGCGTAGGGCATTGCCGATGTTCGCGTTTACGCGATATTGACCCGACCATATGCTCGTTATTTCCCATAACACATTGCCATCCCGATGTTGCTGATGCACGCGGTGGTATTTAGATAGTGCTTCACAGCAACAGGTAGGTCGCTCCGTTATTATTCTAATCACGCTACCGACAACTGACGATTTGCTCGGTCACGCGAATCTTAATCGCATCTAATCTCTCTTTCCGCGCAAGTTTACGCTTATTAGACTACAGGTATCTATCTGTATATTGTCGTAATAGTTACATAAGTAAAAAAATGAAAATTGTAATATTTTTAGTTAAAATCTAAGAAATCAAATTTCATCGTTTGCGATTGTACGTCTGTTCTTAGTTATTGAACCATGTTTGAAGTAAGTATATAATTGCAATAAAAAAAGATTACAATAATTCTGTCCAAACACAGAGATAAAATTTTAGAAAACCAACTTAATCTAAACAGTTGTAAATAGAAATAAAAATAAAGTCGAGTTTTCTTCTTGAAAAAAGAGAAATTTTACTTAATAAAAAAAAACAGTTTTTTCCTACTTAATACAAGAGAAATTGTTTTTTTTTTTTTTTTTTTAATGAAATCTGCGTAGAACCTAAACCACAAAGAGAAGTCAGTCTGAAACGGGCTTATCCTCTACTAAAGCAGCGTTTTTGTGGCGACTAAAATAGCGACTGGCTTTCTTTCTTTTTCCGCAAGTACAATAACCTGTTCCAAGGATTATTTTAAATAAGTCGGAAAAAAAGTCGTGACAAAAATCACAGAATTTCTTATTATTTAGAATCCGCGTCTTTTCTAACGTTAAGAACGAAGAGTTAAGATGTCAATCGAATTTGTTTAAATAATCAATATCGAAAAATATACGTAGTTCTTACATGTGTGCATGTAAAAATAGAAAAATATATATATAGAAAAAAAAAATATATATATAGAATAAAATAATATATATATATAGAATAAAAATATATATATAGAAAATATATATATAGAAAATAATACATTAAATAATATTTTAAATCAATTAGAGTGGGGTATTCGGGGTCTATCATATATGAGATGCAAAACTAGCATCCTATATGAATTGAAGAATTGAAATTTCAATTCGAAAAACACACGTGAAAAACGTGAATTTACTTATATATGTGTACACACACATATAAGACATATTTTCCGACACAACATCCTGCGAACGGCTCTTTAAGACTTATTTATTCATTTATTAAAGTTTAATAAACTACATGACCCCGAGGAGATCCTCAATTTAATATTGATTGTTAGAAAATAATATATATTAATTGTTATTAAATTAATATTATCATACGCATATTGTTATTTACATTTCGATGTTATATACATGTATTTTATTTTATATATAAAATTATATATGATTGTTATATAAATTTTTTTTTATTCGATGACAAACAAGACAGCGAAAGATTGTCGACAGGGAAATTATAGATCTGACCCCGGTACAGCTTAGGCTTAGATCGTAACGGAGATAGCGGCGAGACATCAAAGAAGCTTTCTTAATCTGTCGCTCCTGTGCAACTTTGGATTTACGAACCTGTCCTTTTCGTTAGTCATCTTATATACGCTTGTTCTCCCTTTCAGTTGTTTTTGGAATTCGCCTTTGCCTGTTTCCTCGTTTTATAAAAAGAAATTGAACCGATCCGTCAGAGACCTGTTGATGTTGGTGACCTGATTATATGAGATTTAACGCCGTCCTTCATTACTATATGCATCGAACTCCCCGCGAACCTTTTCCGTTCCTGCCAATAGCTTTTATACCTTAATCTTGCTTTTGTGAAGCAGCGAGAACGTACTTTTTCGCTCACCTTTATTCGGTAGCCGTGGCTTCTGTACAAATCTGAACATTTTTCGTTACAGAATTAGTAAGCCTAAGTTGGTACATCCGTCTTAAAACCTTGCACCCATCTCGCTATCTAGAGATAGTGTCGGATTTGAAAAAAAACTTTGAAGCTTTTTACTTTTGACTCTTCCGTGTCACGCTGCTAATAAAATCTCGTCATCGTAGTCGAGAACGACTCGCAAACAAAATGTAACTCTGAACCAACATGAGTTGTTATATTGCGACACTGAATTCTTATTGAATTGGAACAACAATTGTATTTTTTTTTTTTTTTTTTTTTATTCCGGTCGCGTCGTCAGTCGCGTCGTTTAAGAATATTATTTTGCCTTCTTGACAAAGCGACTCGAATCTCTCTTATGTGAGAGAATCCGTGAAAGTTTTTCCTACCGTGAATGTGAGCGAGGAGATTTCTGTTGCCACGGTCCCATTGTTAGTTTTCGTGTATTCCCGAGATAGTTGCACGTACATTTTTTCTTTTATCCCAACATATTGCGCCAAAGCCAAACCGACGTACGGTCGGACGAGCATTCGACGGTTTGCTTCGAAAAGGTAAAAACCGAATGTGCCTCACAAAAAGAAAAAAAAAAAAAACAAACACACAACTCAACTCAAAAACGCGTCTCTATTTGGAAGATTTTTTTCGTTACTCATAGACAAATACACATGAAAGATTTTTATATCAATGATAAAAGATGAAAAAAACGTAATTAATTAGGATTAGTGTCGTGGCACTTGGAGTGTGTTTGTATGTTTCGCCTGCGACAAAAACATACACCTGGTGTAATCTGGCGAAGATAACATCAAGGAGAGGACTAGGGGGTTGCGAGGAGGGGAGCGCGATACACCATCGAGAGATCCAATCTTCGCGATTATTACATCGGTTATGACGAATTCCTGGCGTAATTCGTCGAGTGCAGGAGCAGCAACTCGCGCCCCCCCCGATTTAACGCGCGCGCAAACATACACGCAAGCTCGTTTGTATGTACACGTACGTCAGAATGGGAAAGGGACGGGGAGCGAGAGATCTCCCGAGAGAGGATGGGGCACGAGATAATTCAAGATGGAGTCAGGGAGTCAGGCGCGGCGCATCTGCCCGCGTCGCTATTATGCCAACCACCGCGCGCTATATGCACGCGCTTCGTCTCGTTTAACCTCCTCTACATATATCTCTCGGCTGCAATTCAATGACGAAACTTTTAACAAAAGTCTAGTCCGCTCTCTCTCTCTACCTGAACCTCTTCTAGCGCACGCATCAACGAGTTTCAACGGCCCCCGCGAAAGCGAGGGAGTTAATTCCGGTCTTTTTTTTACAAATATACGGAGGATCCACATTTTTTTCGGCGTCGCGCGAAATTACAGAGCATTTGCGCGCGATGTCCGATATCGATGGGAATTTCAGGTAAGATTTGTTTTGCAACAACTTTTAACCAAAATGATACGTATAATTATCACGTTATAAGAAAATCATTCTTTTTACACGAACAAATATATATTATTGTCCTTTAATTAAATATAACAAAATAAAAAAGAAAAATAAAAAAGAAAAATGTCTAAAAGAGTGAAAACTTTTCTGATATCATCACTTTTCTCTTCTTAAAGAAAAAAAATATTCATGCGTATATGCAAAAGATTATCGTATTTACACAACGTTATAAGGGATGCGAAGACTACGTCTTTTTTCTTGCTTTCATTTCGGATACTGACTCGAGAAGTGGTACACGCAGTGGCGGGGATAGCATCCCTTGTCGCGAACGGTGACGTCAACTCCAGGATACGACGAGAACGAACCGCTTCTCTCCGCCAGATCCGCCCTTTACCATAGGAGTAGGGAAGCATTGGCCAATAGGGTGCGTTTTTCCCGGCAGCAGCATCGGAACCTTCGAGGGTGTTAGCATCAAAAAGTCTATGACTGACAGTTCATTTTCACCTTGGCAGTTTAGTTCTTGTCGTAGTGGAGCTCGACGATCACGAAGTGATGCCGTAAACGTAAAGAATTGCCGTCCTTTTGAAGCGGCATTTGGTTTTGAAAACAAAAACTCTTTTATAAGCAGTGAATTTACCGCCTAAATTTTTCTCCTCGCAATTAGTGCTGTGTTTTTCTTGTTCAGATAGTAACTGTTCAACTGTTCGAACAATTTTTTAATTGCAAAACATGCAGAATCAGTTGCAGCAGATGCCGGTGCAACCACCAAAAATGCCAGCTTCTTCAAGTAAATATATTTTATTACACTTATATATATATATATATATATATTATTTATTTATTTAATTTATAGACGTCATTTTTGACATTTTAGTCTTTTAGTTATTATTTGCATGATTGATAAACAAAACCAGACTTGACTTATGTGTGTAATTTTTTTAATGAGAAATACTTTATCACATTTAATTAATCATATTGTCTTCTCTTGATAATAGTTTTTTAAGTGTACTTTTTTAAATAAGTTTAAATATATTGATAATAAATATTTTATTTGAATAATATTTTTGATCAAGTTAAATTGTAATTAAAGAATATAATACATAATTTTTGTATTAATAAATTATTTTAATTTTTGAAAAATATACAAGAAAAGATGTGAGATTTTATGATTTTATTATAAAAATTTATTATTCATTTATGTTAATTTTAAATATTATTAAATATTTTTGTTTTATACAATTTCTGAAATATAGATATAGTGCATGTATAAGTTAAAACAATTATTTTGTATTCAAATATATAAAATTAGCCGGAAATAGGTTGGCTCTTCTTTTATGAGTTATGTCGAAAGAATTTTAGTCCTTTTCTTCGAACGTGTTATAATCCTGAAATTACAAATCTTTTTTTTTTCTTTGTGAGTTTATGCACCCGCCAAAATAAAGTAAACGCGTGTGTGTATATATATATATATACATATATAAAAGAAAAAAGAATCCTTTGTTTAGTGTACTATTTATGACATGTATTAACTCCAAAGCCATTTGCAAAAAAGGGTCACGGAATGGCGCCATATATATATTTATTTAGTGCGGCAATATTGTAATGTCAACACGCGTAGAGCAATGAAATAGGTTTGCAGATTTTATAAAACTTTTTTTACTATATATTAAACATAACACCTAATTTATTAGTCTTGTTTTTTTTTTTTTATCAAATTCTTTTCTTTACGTTCTGTAAATTCCGGCCTTGCTTTTTTTTCGTGCATTAGACTTAATTTACATAACGAAAAGAGAAAATCGTCTGACACAGAAATAATTTTACCTATTTATATTTTATCTCACTTTCGAAATCAATAGCCTGTCTGGTTTCACTTTCCAAAATCCTTGACAAAATAGTAAATGTTACATATAACGTGTTCATTTGCTTAGAATACTTTACGATCTGACAACGTAACAATGCGAACTGCGAGTCAATAGTATTCGAGCTGTTAATATTAACGTATTGTTGCGAAAAATATCTTCAAATGTGCTTTGGTAAATACCCTGGGAAAGCTCCCGAGAAAAATTATCTTTTAATTCAGAGACGTATCGGAGAAGAGCGGAAGAAAAGAGAATACGTTATCTGCAAATCCGCGCTCGCTGTGCAGAGATAATCTCTCACTTGTCTCTCGAATCGTTAATTGTCATAATCAATTTTTATTTGGTGTCTGATACGATGTGCTTAATTTTATCTCGTGTGAAATAACAAACATGTGGCTTTTAAATGTAAGAGTAACCTCTACCGTGCATTTAAAAAACGATTCATCCCCAAACGCAGCTCATCCATGAGAAAGTAACGACAGATGGTTCGAAACGAATGCGGCGAGAACGAATCATCGGTGGTAGTCGACTAACAGGTTGTTGCGCGCGGGTGGTTGAATTCAGCGTCATTTGGTGCTCAATCAGTGTCTCCCAGCTAATTATGCGAACTAGCACGTGATCTCTCGAAAACCTGTTTGAAAGATGCTAAAGCTTTTCTATTATTATTTACATGCAACAATTAATATTTCTACGTAAGTTTAAAAAACAACAAAAACTATTTAGAAACTAAAATTCTCGTGTTTTCACAATTCTGTGTAAAAAAAAAGAAGAAAATTCATGGAAATACGACGCAGCCAAAAAAAAAGTTTGATAGCAAAATGAATATTTTTTTGCCAACGGAAACTTTGTGGCGTCGCCGAATGTTTTGTCGCCGGACATAAGGCGAGTCACAGAATATGTGTATCGTGAACTGGACTAGAAATATATCATCCCCCTCGCAATTACATCGAGAAGTTCGTAATTTTGCACGCGAGACTTCGAGCGAAGGACACATTTTACGCCGCACATTTCGTCGTCGGTCCTCGCCACGTTTATTCCTTCTCTCTCTCTCTCTCTCTCTCTCTTTTTCTGTCTCTCGTTCTTCTTTCCCTTTTTCACCCTTTGCATGCGAACGCGCGCACCGGCCGCCGCGGGGATGCGCGCGACAAACTTTTCCCTTAATTTCGTGGTCACGAACACGCGCGCGGTCAGTAGCGTACTTTTAGAAGAGAAAGAGAGAAACGCACCGGACGAAATAAAAAAAAAAAAAAACAAAAAAAAATTCGTCAGGGTGAATCACATCCGGCCGTGTTCGCGCCCCCCCTTTTTTTGCCTTCGAATTTCACATTTACAATATTTTGTGTCAAAACAGTTTTCGTCGAACTTTATTTAATCTTGACGTGGCACGCGCAATTCGGATGATTTTCGTCGATAAAGTCGCGGTTTGAATAAAATAATTGCGCGCGCGCGCGCGCGCGATGGGAAACGTACTCTCTCGCGTTTTATAGCGAGACACCGATCGTCGTCGTGCGCGTAGAAGGTAAATGCGCATACGATTTTTCCCCTCTTTCCGCATGCCACACCTCCGGCCCGGGATAATGACAGTATTTTTCGCGCAAATGCTCGATCGAAAACGTGAGCTTGCGCGCATTCGTGCATCTCATCAAATATTCACGAGACTTTACAGCAACTTAAAGGGTCCTTCCTTTCCCTCCCTCGTCAACCACTCCCTTCTTCCTGTGCTCGCGGAGGAAGAGAGGCGTTTACTATAAAAATAAATATTTAACACGACGCGTGACGGAAGGAAGATGACCGGCGCCCGACGGAAAGCGCTGAGCTCGGCGGAGCTTCTCGACGAATAAAAAATTCAATCGCGAATGACTCGCGAGCCAACCGAATGCAAGTTTCATGCGCAAGTTTCAGTGTAGAAACGTGCGCGTTGCGTGATTCCGACGCAAGAGCACCCGCGAGTTTCCCTTCCTCTTTTGAAGGGGGCAGGAAGGTGAAACATTCCTGGCCGCCCCCGGCGAAAAGGACGCACAAGCCCCTGTTATTCGGTCGCGAATACCCTGTCTGCGTTTTGCTTGAAACATGTGCGCGGGCACTTTGCGCACATTACCTCTCCTCGTTAATGATTTACCGTCAGGAACACCGAGGCGTTTCCTCGCGGTCACATGCGCCATCGAGAAGGGAGAGAGCACCTTTTAACCCTTACGTGTGTTATAGAAAAACTTCGCGATTTTTCGCTATTACTTGCAATCGATGTTCACAGAAAATGATGGAAACGCGCAACGCGCTGGTTGAGACTTCGATAGTCGAGCAAGTTGCTCTTATAGACAGTTTTTGAAAAGGTTCTTAACGATATTTTTTAAAATTTTCCGGTTGTAGTTGGGCAAGTGTGAAACCATTTGCAGGGTTTGTTTTGCAATAAATAAATCTGCTAATTTTATTTTCCAAACGTTTCGGCTTTAATAGAAGAGGAGTATAGAAACGCTTCAAAAAAATTATCATAAGAACAGGAAAATTATATCATGGCCCTTTGAAGCACAAAAAACACTGATGATAATGTGTGTGTGATAGCAGCATTACTTTATTCAAGCACGTAATATATAAAACGTTTTCGGCCTTGGATTAGGCCTTTATCAATATATATATATACAAAAATAAATCAATTGTTAGATTCGCAAAATTTATAAAATTACAACTTACAGACAAGTAGATGAAATTTGTCACTTGATTAACGCACATAATAATGTTGTTCTTGAATTAAAAACTTAATCGAGTCACATGATTCGGCTTTATTTTTAACCTTTTCGCTCCGGGGATTTTTCCTTTAAAATTGACCTCGCATTTTAGCTGAAAAAGTTAATAATAACCTGCTACCCCCCCCCCTTCAAAGTTAATTTTGAAGGTCAAAGAAGTAACCAGGATTTTTTTTCAATTTTTTTCCTAAATTTAGTGCATTAAATTGACCTTATAAACATCTATTACGTTCGCTTTTCTTGCTGGTCCATATATGGACCAGTCCCGGAGCGAAAAGGTTAACCTTCTTCAGTGGATTTCTTTATAGAACATTCCCTCCTGATTGATCAAATGACGAACATTTTATGGTTGAATTATAAGTTAAAATAGTTTGAGTGTCAAATGTAAAATTTAATCTGTTTATAATGTGTGAGTCACAAGACAGTTTCGTCATTACTCAGTAAATCCATTGAGGAAGGTTAAAAACAAAGCCGAAACGTTTGGAAAATAAAATTAACAGATTTATTTATTGCAAAACATCCTGCAAATGGTTCACACTTGCCCAACTACAACCGGAAAAAAAAAAAGTTTTTGAAAAGTTCGATGGGGCTGAATCGAGCAAGAACAAAATATGTGACACACTGTGTGTCTAATTAATTTAACGACAGTCTGAAAACATCGTCATTGGTTTTGCCAACCGCGATCAAACGCGCGCGCGTGTCAATCAACAGGTTGCCGTTGTGCTATTTCGCGCGACGCGCGAAAGATTCGATGTGACCCTAAGATTCATTAATTTGTTAAATTAAACTACGAGCTTACGTTGTTCTCTCGCGGGCGTTGGTTGTTCCGGTCGCCATTGCGATCATAATACTACACACACAGTGAGACAGAGATAAAGAAAAAGCGAGGGAGTGATTGAGGGAGAGATCGGGGGCTCGATAGCGAGCCGAAGTGTCGTGTTTCTGGCTGCTCATTTAGGGTCCCCGAATGCGGCACAGCCACATCCGGTCGTCTATTCAGGGTCCATTCACGATCTCGTCGAGCTCAATGGCGTAGGCGGTGCCTGCGCGACAAGGAGTTAGTACCCCATTTCGAGCGCGCGCCCCCGCGCGCGCGTTTATCCAGCGTCCACCCTCTCTTCGCGAAGAGGCATGTGTGCGTTACTACAGAGAGAGAGAGACTAACTTGCTGACAAATCGATCCATTCACCTCCGAGACGTCATTCAGCAGACGTCGTGTTGTCGCTCGTAAACGGGTTCCTAACCAAAATATCGGCATTTTCAGCGGACCAAGATTTAAAGCGCCCTTTCCATCGATTGTCGTCGACAATACGTCGTACTTATACTCGGCGACTCTTTTTCGCGAAGAAGTTGACGTGAGGTTTGTATCGAATAGATTGACGAGGGAATGATGATGATGACACGCCTCTCCTCGCGCGCGTCAAACTTATTCCTCCCTTTGGTCGAAAAAACTCTGCCAAAGTCGTTGCCTCTCGCCTGTCGATCGAAATGATTACGTCGCGCCAATATACGTTATTTTAAATATTTATTGTATGAATATATGAATAAAAATATAGGAAAACTCAATTTATTCTCTTTTTATCCCTCAAACGGACGGCGTGTTTTTTTCGGCACCTTCATTCGCCGGACACGGGTCGTTTTCGCGTCTTGGGCGTTTTAAAAATATTAAATATTTCTGAAAAAATCTGAAACAACGTGTATATACACCGAAAAAATGATATTCTCGTAAGTAGAAGATTTTATACTTAAAAAATCTTCTTAAAGATTTTAGATGATATTCTTCTGAAATTAAGAATATA